GACGGGCAGATTGGACGCGGCTGGCCGGGGTCGAGTTGGCTGTTTTGGGTTGAGCAAAGTGTAGCGCCCCGCTGAAGCCCCGGAGCTCGAATGTCCATTGTAAAACTAACTTTACCGCTATTTAATGTGGCGCTATGGCTCTGCAGACATTGCACGTTGCTGTCTTGTTTTGTGGTGTTCCTAGTGTAAAATACTTCCACACAGCGGACATGTTTCGATGAAAAGTTTGTTAGCTGTTAGCCACAGTGCTGCTAACTCAGTCCTCACGTTGTAGCTGGCTGCAAACTATGAACTGGATTTCCTGAATGTGAGGCGGGTCTTATTACTCTGGGTTCATGAGACACGCCTCCGTTCAGGAAATCCATTCCATAGTTTGAAGTTAACATGCATCATGGATCGGAAAGATTGGCAGGAGGATCGGAAAATGGATCGGTCACATTGTCACGATGCCCAATCCAGAACTTTTTCCGATATCAAACCAATACCGATATTGATATCGGATCGGTGCATCTCTAATGATAAATATTGGGGGGGAAAAAGTGTATGTGTCACTTTGGTGTATAAGTCGCAGGACGTGTAAATTTATGCAAAAAGGTGTGACTTATACAGCAAAGAATACTTTTTCAAAGATTCAGACGTGAACTCTGTGAGGTTCGCCTGATGGAGGGGTTAGTCTTCACAAGATCAAAAGGTAAAATCACCTTAGAGCAGGAACTATTTGTAATAAAATCAGCTGCTTTTTGCAGCAGACTGGAAGTTTTTCAACTCATCAAACCTAAAATAAAAATAAATTGTATTTATGTTAAAGCAGCTACGCACCTCCTTGTTTGGCTGCTTGGCGCTGGACGTCACTGAGTTGGCTTCTCCCAGAGCAGAGAAAGATCTAGGCCTCATGTCTCCAACAGATGTTGGGATGACAGGAGATACGGAGTCCTTACGCAGAGCTCCGTAACCGTTGCTGTGCGATCTTATCAGGGGGAGGTCACTGGGAGAGGAGGGGTCAGACACAGATGGGTCCTTGCCCAGAGGCTTCTCTGGAATGCTGAAGAGGTGCACAGTGATGAAGATGCCCCAGGTGAGTGCTGAGAAAAAGTAGATGACTTGGTACTCTGAGCCCAACAGGCGGCCCAGCACCGAGTGTCCCCAGTCCATCGCGCCCACCAGGTAACCACAAGCCCCACCCAGACCTGGAAAACACACAGGTAGAAATAAGCCAACTGTGGACCCTGGTAATCCTGCACTGGATTATTGTAGATAAGTGACACAAAAACCTGAATGTTGACTACTCAGTTGTTATACTGGTAATATTCACCGGTATACAAAAATCATTAAGCTTGTTGCACAATACTGTTAGAAATGATATGATACAATACAATGTGATATGTTGGGAATGGATACAAAACAATGCAACACAAGTTGATCCATCTGATCTGAAACAATGAAATAATGTACAAAATAATACTATATGATACAATACTATGAAATAGGAAGAAATGCAATGTTATATGATACAAAACAATATGAATATAATGTGATATGACAAGAAATTTATTGATCCATGGCAATATTTGTTTTGGACTCAGCAGTAGCTGCCACACAGAAGATCTATAGATTATTAAAATATACAAACATGATTCAATATTGTATATCTAGTTTAAAAAGACATAAAAATGTCTTGTTTACTACTTCTTTTTTTTTATCATTAATGTGGTTCAAATGAAAAAACAATTGTTTTCAGCCATTTCAGTGCAGTATAAACAACATGGATGTTGCACAATATGCACATCGTTGCTCTGTTTTTTACAGTAAAGTTGTTATTAAACAGATTTCATTTGATTTCATTATAATCAAAAATGTACAGTTGCATCTTGTTGGGCTTAATAATGAGCTGAAACTTACAATATGTGTTTTTGGAATGCACATGCTTTTCCAATAATTGACTTTCAGACTCTATTATGAAAGGGGGGGGGATCATACGTCATACCTTGCTTCTCGTTTTTTTAATTATATTTTGCTGCTGTTTCAGAAGGATGTTGAAATTGTTTTCTTATTTTAACATTAGATGCTATTTCATCTATTTTCATTCAAGTTATTTTCATTCAAGTAACGAGCTATTTTCAGAGAAATTCTTGCAGAGCTTCTTTGACAACTTCCAAAAGAAAAACAAACAAAAAAACATACTTAGAAAATGTTTCAGAGCTAGTGGTTAAGATTATTTAAAAAGACAACAAGAAAGCCTGGCTTCATGGACACAGTATAAAGAAACTAAACAGTATAGACTGGAAACATACTGTAAAAATGTATGTTTAAATATTTAGTTTCTTGACCAACACATCACAGAGCACAGATCAAACTGGACTGTTTTAAATCAGAATACATTCATTTTTAACTGCTGTTAGCATTGCTGCTAGGGAAATGTTGCTTATATTTCAGATCTATAGGGTATGATGTTTTAAATGTCACATCTGTCTTCACCAGCTTTTATTATTATCTCTTCTTTCCGAACTTCTTGTGAAAATGCACTCTAGTGTGAAACATAAAAAAATACCTTTTTTTCAAGCAATGTTGATTTTTGTAAAAAAAAAATTTAAACTAAAAATAAAAAACTTTAAAACACTTGGATAAAAATGAAGTTATAAAGAAAACATTTTGCCAACTACTACTGGAAGCAATCGTTACATATATATACCATATTTTCCGGCATATAAGTTACGTTTTTTTGCATATATTTGTCAGTCCTGCAAGTTATACTCTGAAATGACTTATATACTTCCCCCCATATTCATAATGCAGTTTTTGACTGATGCTTTAAATTTTGAAGAACTGTTGAAGAACTAAGTGTTAATCTTGTTAACACGCTTCACTCAGCTGGTGCAGGCGGAGGAATGCTGGAGAGCTTGTGGCTCCAGCTGCAATGTATGGATGGATGGCGCCGAGCTGCCCAGGCAAAATAAAGCTGTTTTGACCATTAAATAAATGCATAATAAATGCAAAGAGTCAACGGTGATGCATAATAAATGCAACTCATACGCCGAAGTGACTTGTATGCCGGAAAATATGGTATCAGAAAAATAACCTTAATTTTTTTTTTCAAACTGAGGGAATTCAAAAGGCTATCTACAGCAGGTAAGATATTAATTGTTCTTAGGCTTTTTCACAGAACCTCACTTTAAAAAAAGGACTGAAAGTTCACTTTAACCTTCTGCTTGCATCATGGCAGACAACACAAGCTTCACAGAAGGCGATTTTAAACTTTTAACATTTGATAGATTAAATAATCAGTACCGACTGGTTGTCTGACCAGCTGATTGATTTAATAACTCCTTTAAATCTGTTTGGTCGAGTGAAACGAGGCCATTATTTTACATTCGAGTAACTAGCAGGTTTTGTATTAACCACTTGAGGAATCTGCTCGGCTGCATGACTGATCTCCTCTCCCTTTGTGTTCTGCATCATCAATATAAGTTTGGACCTTTTCTACCTTTTTACTGCCGCTCACCCCCCATCAATGGACACAAAGTAAAAACACAGGCAGTATAAAGAAGAAGGATTTTAAATGAGCCTGATGAAATTCTACGAATAAGCATTGAGCACCATACACAGTTTCATGTTATGAAAAGTTTAAGGAAACACCCTGAAAGCTTGATTGCAACTGTGATGCAAGCGTCTCACACTTCTTATGGAGGTGGAAAACATGAAATAACCTGAAAAGCAATTATTTTGGATGTAATATTGCAAGTGAGAGCTTATAGCCACTCCAGCTACTTGAATTTGGACAAAGGCCCAGTGATGCATTGAACTAAATTACATTATAAGTATGCTGCAAGCGAATGAGGCTGGTGTTTAGGAAGGAACATCCATTAGTGAATGTTCTGTCCGAACCTCCTCTGAAAGCAGAATGAAAGCCGTGTCATGATGCACTCTGCAATACAAGGCAGTCTGGATGGAAATCAGTCCTCGCAGTGCATCAACTTGTGCTGCAGCACTTTAAAAATAAAAAGACAGGACCACTGTCTTCATTTGTTTATCTATGGGAGCCATGCTGACTCAGTTCTACAGCCTTCGTGAAATGTAACTTTTATAATTAGCCTATTTTTGTCCAATAATTTTGTCAATTGAATCTGTTATGCTTCCCGTTTTACTGCAGATTTAGATTTTACGTTTGTTGTATTTACAGCCCCGAAGCCACTCCCCGTACATAATCACAGCCCTGATATGAGCAAGCATGGGAGTAAAATCCCGGAGAAACTCCCAGTGTTTGCCCTTTCCTCCTCAAAGCCCACATACCAGCAGCGGTTGTCTCGAGTCATGTGCCTTGGCCCCCGTTTTGCTCAGGCCAGACCCATGACTGCAGCACATGAGGAGCTCAGGGCTGGATTACTGCCTGACTAACATGCTCACACCACCTGGTGCCTTGCTGGCAGCTGAGCGCCCTGCTGACGCTCCTGCCAAAGACAGCTCTCACCGTTTGCTCGCTTATTTTTAAAATTTGTTTTAGGCTATGTTTGGGCCTTTTTTTTTATCAGGTTGTGATGTATAAGTTGTAATAAAGCAGATTCAAAGTGAGGACACGTAAAGGTTGCATCTATTGAGCAGAGATGTTTGGGTCACAGTTTTATACACACCACACTGACAGCCACACAATGGTCTGGAAATAAATATGTATATTCAGTTTTTCGCTCTGCTCCAGTGATGTAAGGCCACCAGGGTTAGTATTTGTGTGTCAGTATTTCATTTAACATCTGTTAAGGAAAGGTCAGGCTTTTAAATTCACATGAACCTTTGTCCTTATTTAATAAAAAGTGATAGAAAAATGAGAAGATAAATGTTAGTGATGTCCATCTTCCATACCTTTTTTTTGGTTAGAAATGGACCAATGCCTGTGTGATGGTAAATATGTTTATATTTTTTTCATCTTAAGACACAAATGGGAAATTATTTCTCATAAAAATATGTATTATGAGCGCCTAACTACCTGAAAACTCTAAAACTAAAGTGTGGAAATATCAGTGGATGTGAAAACCCCAGCTGAGGCCCTGTTTGCCTCCGGTGCAGCGTGCATAGCTGTGCTCAGTCTTCTCAGAAAACTCCAAAATGGTAAATGTTAACCTTAAAAAAAAAAAAGCTGATGTGTTTACAAATTTCTCATTAAATCCGGTTTGTTTCTGAGAACTGCTCTGATGCACGAACTTGGCTGTGTCGAACTCAGATGGTGTGCAGTTTTCTTTGAATTTAAGAGCACGAGCTGAAAAACTATTTATTCTTTTCACCAAATCCTGAAGATAAAATGCAGAAATGTAAGGAAATGAATGAAGCCAAATAATTTCATGAAGCTTGTTTTCTTTGAAGGAATGTTTATTGTTCATTTTAGCTCAATGTGCATACAGCTTACTGAATTAGACCCAATTTTGTGTTCACTAAGTTCGATAAAACGTGGCAGCCTAAAGTTAATCAGTTGTAGCGGTACATCCAATGATTACTTTCTGAGAGCTTCTTTAACATCTGCTCATGGTTCGTGGGATATTTTGCTAACAGACAGACAAAAAAGAAGAAATGATAAACTCGCCTCTGCAACATCAGTTAGCTGCATCAGTTGTAAACTTTCATGTGACTCATTTTCCAAAACTCCACCGTGTAAAATAAGAAGAACGCACTGAGCAAGTCTCATAATTTCCTAAGATGTTCAGGAATAAAGTGAATCAGTAAAAAAAAAAAAAAAATAGCTGGTTATTTATGTAGTGCCCATACCACGTAGATAAAGAGTTACCTCGGTGCCCTGGGAACGTTATTTTAAAGATAGCTGTACTAACAGCTTACAGCAAATACAACTTACTGTTGTAAAGATGGTACCATCTAGTGGGCCTTCCTTGTCTGTACACCCTAGTGTGTCTCATTATTCTTGATTAGTTTTACCTTATCTGTTCCCAGCTGTTTGTAATCACATCCTGTCTCCTCTTGTGTATATAAGCCTGTCTGTGAGTCTTGTCCTTTGTCACGTCGTCGTTAGGTATTGCCTTGTCCTGTGGTCCTGTCTTGGTCCCATCCCGATCATGTCCTGTTGTAAGTTTATGCTGCCACATCAGCCCTTTAAGTTATTATTATTAAAAGTATTTATTTATCTGCCTGCTGAGTCTGAGTCCCTGCCTGCAACTATTGAGTTCGTTTCTGTCCTGCCTGAAAACCCTGACAACTGTTTATATTTAATTTAATGGCGGCCTCCACTTAGCAAGAAATTATGAATTTACACCTTGTTTAACCCACTAAGAATCTAATTTGGTTCACATATAAAATTAAACAAAACAACAACTTTTCAACGTAAAATTCAACCCCAAAATAAACTTTTGCAGGCCTGAATCGACGCTTGGGTTTCGTGGGAGCTAAAAACAAACAGCTTGTTCGCTCACTGAGCAAATAAAATAAAAAGCACGTACATTGGTTTAGTTTTGTACTAACAAATCCTTCAAAGTTTGAGACTGGATTGGAAAAGGAAGATATGGAGATTCCTTTAATATGACACTGAGTAAAGTAAGTAGGCAGGTGATGTCACACGAACACCGAGATCCTTCCTGGCAGCAACCTCACAGATGGGAACCCGATGGCTGAATAGGGAACGTCTAACTCGTCCAGCAGGTCCTAAGATTGGCTCCTGGTCCACTTTCATATGCTTCTTAAAGTCCGTTACAGTCGGCAACTCTGCATTAACTGTTGTAATGGACAGCTTTACTCTTTGACCCACGTCTGAGTCGCTGTGCTCTCTGCACTTGTCTGGTTTTCACGCTGACCCACGTTTCATGCAGCGTACCATTAATCCCACCCACTCCCATCTGACTGGGCAAAATAAATTGCTTAATCCGTTACAAAACAAAACTGAACAAGATTGACACTTAGCACAACTCAAAGAGAAGGTTGTAACCTGCCATGTGGCATTTACCCATGTGCAGCACTCCTCAAACATGTGTAACATTCAAGGAACATAGTAAAAATGACAACTGCCTGTTTCAGTCTGCTTAAACTAGATTTTCTTGACCAAATATGAACTGCTTTTTAAGATGATACATCCCTTAGACATCGCTTTTAAATTTAAATGATATTACTATGAATTTAGTTCAGTACTTAGTTTGTACTATATAGTACAGTTCAAACTGGGCTACATCTAAGTAAAAAATCAAGAAGGCTTTTAAAACCTCATAAGACCTGATGTAAAAAGTCCCACCTATCATGACTCACGTTAAGACTGCACATCATTAAACAGGCATAAATACAGACAAATAAAACACTAATTAGTTCTATTAGGGCGCATTCAATAGAAAACATCTTGAAATCTTTTTTTTTTTTTTTTACTGACAGAAACCTTCATTATCTTAGGAACAGTTTATTAAGTCACACTGATTTATTATTTACCATGACTTCAGACAACCTATTAAGTCAGTTTCCTAGAGTGACAAGGTGATCTATCTCCTTATTTTTCTCTTGTGAAACTCAACTTTCTGTGAAATGCATCTTTAGATAACTTATCTACTATAAACTTCTCAAGTTTAATAGTTGAAGCAGCAACCATTTTCTGGGACTTCGATTAAATTGACACAACAATACAGTTTTATACTCTTTATTTGGCTCTGTTTTAGTCTTCAGCATCTTCTGGAGACAGTTAATGAGTATAACAGCTAAGTGCTAAGACAAACTGTCTCCTTTTTACGTTCCCTCCTCTTGATGCTGAGCAGGTAATGAACGGTGAGTTTATTTTTCTCAGAAAATACCAAATGCATGTCCAATATTTGAACTCAAACTTAAAGGAGAATCAAAATGAGTTCAAAACAATTTTTTTCTGAATACTGAAACTAGTTAATACTTCTATTTAATTTCATTTTATTTACTTTTTTCCATCATCCAATTTCTATCCATCCATCCATTATCTTTTACTCGCTTCTTCCATTTTGGGTCACGGGGGTCCTCTTCCAGTTTATCTAAATATATTTTGTTTTATTCTAATTTATAAATAACTTATTAACATTAAGCCATTTGCGAAGTTTAAATGACTCACAAACCAGCTCTTTGGAGGGCATTGGACCAGTTCTTTGTCTACTCAGCAGGTAAGATGCTTCTGATGATGTCTATGGTTCAAGGGTGGCTGGCCTTGAGGAATTAGATGTTTGTAGTTAACCAGCTGATTAAGGTGTGACACCAGGAGTTTACAATATTGAGCCTATTCACAATATTCTAATATTCTGAAACACAGAATTTTGTTTTTTCATTACTTGTAACCTATATTCATTAAAATAACAAGAAATAATGTCTTGAAATGTTTCACTACTGTATATGCATAAGGAGTCTATGTAATATAGGAGTTTCACTTTCTGAAAGGACTGACACAAAAGAAATTGAACTTTTTCACAATATTGTAATTTTTGGAGATGCATCACTTTAAGTCCTAATTCTTCTTTTTCACATTTTGAAACCTGCAATTTATTGAAGTAATGCGTTAATAATTTATTCTTTCTAAACACCTACTGGTTCTCGCTGAACAACTTTTTTTATTTTTCACTAAAATTGTCACTTTTTTTGAACAAAACACTTTTCAAGCTGGATAAAAAAGCAACATTCAAAAACCTGTCACAGAGAAGAGCAGGAGCTCTATCAGACATGACACATCAAATTGCTGTTGCTTCACCTTTCTGTCTCACTATAAGGTGAGACTAAGACTCAAGGGACAACCTGTGTCTAAAGGACAAGACAAATCAAGAAGACAGGAATAGAAATATTATGAGCAGAGGGGGTATTGAAGAGTGAAAGAGGGAATTGGTGTGAAAATAGTGACAAACAAACAGATATATGGTGGTGGTGTGGGCTAAAGACACCTTGTGTAACAACAACTTCAAGAGGACCAGAGCCGTTAAACATAATTATCTCAAAGATAAGGTAGAGATGATCACATCAGAAGATAATCCATTCATGTCCCGACAGCCAGAGTAAAGGAAGACGCTTGGATGAAGCTTGAACCGTTGTTAAGAGTAAATACAGCAGTCCCTCATTTATTGTGGGGTATAGGACCACCAACCCCAACCGCGATAAGTGAAAAACCATGAAGTAGGGAAAGTAGTACAAATAGTAGTAGTAAGCAGTAATTTATATATATATATATATATATATATATATATATATATAT